ACTGCATCCCTCACTTTCTATTTCCACTCTTCCACAAGTGACTGGGCCTTCCCCACCAATATCCCCATTGTTTTTCTGCAGAGGTAACCTGCCCATCTCAGTTCTGAGCTCTAGTGTGATGTATTAGTTTTACTTGCTTTTGAACTTCATATAACTGGAAACATAATTATGCATTCTTAAAAAAACTTGCTTGGAAATAATTTCTATTAATTTACAAACAAGTTGCAATTATAATACAAAGAACATCCACATGCTCTTTATCCAGACTTACCTACTAATAACATTGCGTTCCCATTTGCTTTATTATTATTATTTTATCCTATCTAAACCCGAACCTTTTCTTGAACATTTGAGCAAATCCATAGCTCATTACCTCTAGATATTTCAGTGTGCATTTCCTAAAAATAGTAATTTATTTTATAGTACAGCAGGATTACCAATTTAAGTAGATTTAACATTGACACAATATATTTATCTAATCTAAAGTCCATGGTCCAATTGGTTCATTATAGGAGCTAGTCTAGCACTGGGTGTTATATTCAGTTGTCATGGCCCCTTAGTCTATTTCATGCTAGAATACATACTTAAAACTTTTACATCCTTTGTGAAAGTTGACATTTTTGAAGTATACATTCTTTTTTTTTTTTTGGTAGGACTTATGTTTCTTAATAATTAGGTTTGGATTATGCATTTCAAGGCAAGATATAACATACGACATACGTGATGTTATGTCTTCAGTGTATCATATCTGGTGATATATATGATGGTCATTGTCCATCATAGGTCATATTAATTTTGATCATCCAGCAATCACTTTATAATTAGCATTTTCCCTTTTCAAATAATAAACAATCTATGGGGAGACACTTTAAAAATTGTGAGGAGCAACAAAACCTATCTGTCCCACCCTCACAATTTAGTATCCACTGATGAATCTTATCGGAACCACTCTTTACATGATAGCACAAAATGAGAACAATGTTATCACTATGTAAATAGTAATGTAAAAAAATTAAAAAGTTAATAATAAAGCTGGATTTTCTAACCTTAGCATTCCTTAAGTATTTACCAAATGGCACTCTGCATTCCACTGTAATCAACATCCTCCTCCTTTGTCTTTCTTTCATTATTGGTGTAGACCCACAGATTCCTGTTTTACAACTGTATAAAATGAACAAACTTTTAAAAGTATTTTTCTGTACTTGTTCTATTTTTAACATCCACTTATTACTGTGCCAGTACCAAATGAGCTTTGTTTTCTTTAAAAGCAGTGACTGTGGTATAGAGTCTGGAAAGATCAATCTTTCTCCCATTACTTAATAAAGTAATGGATGTATTTTACATGTTGTCACATTTACAAATTTATATGTCCCATGCCTTTTCTTCTCACTGCTTTGATCAACCCTGGTGGAATTCTTATGGAATTGCTTTGAACATATAAACTAACTTACAAACAACAGGCAAGTTTTATAATACGTAGTCTTTTCATCAGCAAAGTCTGCTCTTCCTTTATTCAAGTTTTAATCTGACCAATAGTATTTCAAATGGACATGTCTTCTATAATGAGCATAGGGAGTACAGATGTGCCACCACTCTGTGGGATTCTAGAATAAGCTGGAGTCAACCAAGAGCAAAGCAAAGCAAAATCATCAAGGAAATGGAAAAACAAACAACCACCAAGGGGAAAATAGAAGATTCTTCACTCTGTTCATTTCACTCGTTTACCAAACAAGGCTTCTGGAGCTTCTACATGTTACCTGCCAGGCACTGTGCTAGACATGGAGACACAGGGGACCCAGACTCAGAGAAAAGCAAATAGGAAGCCATGCTTAATACAGTAGGTTCTAAATGACCAAGTCTGAGGATGTGATTTGATAAAATGTTAATTGATTAATTCACAATGTGTTCACTTACAGTCTGGGGAAACTATGCCTTATTTGTGCTAAATAGGAGCACATGGAGCAGAAACAAGGTAGGTCAGTGTATCTCTTTTGCAGTTTTCACGAGAGCTACCATCTCTCAACCCTGTCCCACAGGACAGAACTGCCTGGTACTGGCAGACATTTCCAGTAGTGCTACTTGAAAGCAGTCAGACCTTCACTCTCTGTGCTCCACAGTAAGCACCCGAGATCATCAGACACCCGTGGAAGGCGGTACAAAGAACGGATCCTAGGTGTGCTCAGCTCCTTTTTTCAGCTTTTCAGCACCTTTGGGAGTTTGTCGCATCTGATGAAGAACTTCAGTTTGGGTTACTGTAATTACTGGCAGAATTAGAGATCCAGGATGGGGTTTGGATCACTTTTCACATTAGATAGGCTTGAGCCTTCAGAGGCAGGCATTGTGCCTTGGTGGGGAAGAAATGGCCTTGTAATTGCTCTGCAGTGCTAATTCTAGACCCCTTTGTCCTTCCTCCCTCCCTCCCTCCCTTCCTTTCTTTCCATAGACAGGTATTTGGGAAACACTGCCTCATGTTTTTCTAACTCCTAAACTTAAGTCTTCAATAAACTTTTTTTTGGTGGTGGTAGTACTGGGATTTGAACTCAGGGCCTTCAGGTGATCTCACTTGAGCCCCACCCCAGTCCTATTTGCTTTGGTTATTTTTCAAACAAGGTCTCATGCACTGGCTGGCCTGACCATGATCCTTCTATTTATGTCTCACGTAGCTGGGATACAGGCACATACCACAGCACACAGCTACTGGTTGAGATGGGGTCTTGCAAACTTTTTGCCAGAGCTGGCCTTCAACCAAGACCTCCCCAGTTTTCTGCCTCCTGAGTAGCTATGATTATAGTCATGGGCAACTGTGCCCAATCAGTAAACAATAATTTAGTGAACATTTGTTATGTCCAACTCATTTTGGATAAATGGGAGGGAAACAAATTTAAGGAAATCACAGTGGAACCTAAGACTCACAGTTCCAGTTTCAAATAAGCCACTCAAAAGCCTCCATCCCTCTTTCTCTCACCCTTCTTTCCATTCTTTTAAGGTGGTATGACTTGCCATAGTCATATAGCAAGACTGTATGAACCTGAAAGTACATAGCTAATTATTCACTGTCATGCAGCATGGATAGAAAAAATAGAGATCACAAACCCAGAAACCATCCATGGTTCACATGGATGCACACTTTTACTGTTTTCAGGGAATCAAGGAATTCTCTGAAAGGATTCGATATCTACTTGATTCTAAGCAGCACATTCTTTTGGACAAGAGGAGCACTGACCTTCCAACATCATTCCCCGGGAGAACTATACCACACAGCCTCTCGGGTAAGGAATGGGATCACTGTCCTCCGCACCAGGGCTTGTGGACACACCTACTGTCTTCTGACCTTACAACCACACAGCTGTGGTTGTCAAGTGTTCCTTCTGCTCCAGTACTGCCAGCCTAACACTATCTTCCCTCAGGCAGGCTATGTGACTCCAGCTCCTCCCACCTTGATATACTCTTCCTGAGGTTCTGAGCATCTCCTGATAGAAGCATTCGGGCTTAGCCAATACCTATGAGCTGAAGTGACAAGTCCATTTGCATTCTTCTTGCTTTCCATTAAGTAGTCATACAACTTCACCCATAGCACTGGCTCTTTTCAGATTCTATAAGTTCCAAGTTGTATTAAGGAACATTGCTTGGATCACTAGGGGAATAAATCCACTCCTAGGAGTGGAGGGAGAGGAGCAAAATGAGGGAGGGCCAGACATTGCCACCTCTGCAATGCAAGAAAGAAATCACTGGTAAGGGAGAACGCTTAAGAAGGAAGCCCATACCAGGCAGTGCGGACTAGATACTTTTGTCTCAAGCAAATCTAGACTGGAAATGTTTAACTTGAAACAATCTTTCTGTGGAGCAATGAGGTATTATGTATTTCTTGATTCAGTCATTTCACTTCCAGGAATTTACTCATGAAAACAGAGTTGTCCACAAGGATTTAAAGGATGGTATAAAGACTATCACAGCACTAACTGCAAAGGCAAAATGAAACCCCACTCCCTTGAAAAAAAACGTTTTTGGGAGTGGGGCTGGGATTTTAACTTCACGCTTGCAAGGCAGGTGCTAGCAAAGCAGGCACTCTGACACTTGAGCTATACCTCCAGTCCACTCTGCTCTGGTTATTTTGGAATAGGGTCTTGTGAACTTGCTGCCCCAGCTGGCCTTGAATCTCAATCCTCCCAATCTCAGTCTCCCAACTGGCAAGGATTACCAGCATGAGCCACTGGCACCCAGCTTGAAAAAACAAACTTTAATGACAATGACCAGACTGAATACAAACTGAAATGGACAAGAAAACAGCATGGACAGTACAACTGAATTATATTTACATATGGGACTACAAGTTCTAAAAGATGTGAAGAATTTTAGTAACTCTGTAAGGTGGGATCATGAAGTTTTACTTTTTTATTTTCTAATTTTTATAATAAAATATAAAATAGCTTATTTTTAATAAAAAATCTTACTCCTTTTCTTTGGTGTCCTTTTAAAACCAAACTGGGGAGTCTTAATTCTCCCACAGCTTAGTTATGTAATAAACTTTGTTACTTCCCTATAATTTTTTTTAATTAAAAAAATCAGACTGGGTTTTTGGCCCACAAAGATTTTTTTTTTTGGGGGGAGGGTAGGAGGGCTGGTGATTGAACCCAGGGACTGATGAATGCCAGGTATACACTCTATTGCTTCACCCACACCCCCAAGCCCTTTTGTTTCTGAGACAGAGCCTCATGCTATTTGCCCAGGCTGGCCTCACACTCCAGATCTTCCAGCCTCTGCCTTCATAGTAGCTAAGATTATAGGTAAGCACCACTTCTCCGGGCCCATGTTTTTTAAATTTTAATTTGCTCATTTAGTAGCCTATCTGAAATTTATCTTTATTATTTTGTGAAAACAAACCCTTGGTTCAATATAGAATCAACAAACCAGGGGCCCAGAAAATAATAAAGACATTCCAGAGATGAGTGACTACGAAATGGTAATATCTTCAGCACTTAAGATCCTAAAGAGTTTAGTCACCTTGCTGCTTGACAAAAGAAATGGAACACTAGATGTTTCGATGTTGGCCAGACCAACTTAATCAGGTCGACCGTCAAATAAATGGGAGAAATGACTAATTCATAGACATTCTCTCTAGGTCTGCCTGTCAAATGCACCTCAACACCTCATTAAGTGGAGAGAAAACTGGGACATTGTCCTTAAAACTCCGTAAGAGTTCCCTAAGTGAATTATGAATCAATGCTTATTTTTAGGAAAGATGGCTCAGCGCTTTTAGCTGGCATGACCTCTTTGATATTCTGGAACCTCAGGACTGGTTTTCGTAAAATTTCACATTTTACTGCCTGGAGCTATTTGCAGGTGTAATCAGTATCCGTAAGTCAGGCTCAAGACTTCCTCAGATCCAGTTTCAGAGTTGGATGAGAAGGTAAGAGACTTGATCAAACCAATGAAAACGGTGGAAGTTCTCACCTCTATTTTCAATCCACGTCAGTAACACTCAACTCCTTACAGCACTCAACCTTCTTCCTTTCTGAGGATGAAGACAGTCCTGACATACAGCAATTTCACTCAACTATAAACAGGGATGACTTCAACCGAATTCCCTCGCTTAATTAACTCCCATTCATGTTCCACTCTCCCTTTCACTCCTATTTGGGAGTATGCCCTACCCCCCCGACACAATTCTAAGAATATTGATGGTTTTAAGTTTTGTGAGGTTTTAACTTGCAGCGGAAAGAATCACTTTGTGGCCACTGTGGGAATTACCTGTGGTAACTGATGTGCTCAACTGCTGTGTCCTCTCATCACAAACACCTCAATGGTTCATGGGCCATAGAACCTTGAGTCTCTTTGGGGTTAAGTGGTATCTAAGACAGGACTTTGGATCATTAGGCATCTTCATTGCTAACTGGCTAGAGAAGTGAGCCACACAAGCAGGGAGAAGATGCTGCCTGTTTTAATTTTGCAGGTAGGAAATGTCTAGTCTTTACATAACAAATCTTTTCCATATTTGCTTTCTATCAGCAGTACTTTTTCCTTTACTCCCTCAGCTGTGACTCATGTCTTCCTAAACATCCATTTCCTTTGTGGATGTTGTCACCTTGGCTCTTTCACTGATGTGACATTTTAGCAGCAGACTGGTGGTTATTAGTGACTTGTCAAACTCTCTGTTTGAGGAAGGGAGAAGACAAGCATACCAGCAAGGGAAGATAGCAGATTCAATGCTTTTGCAGTTAGCAGAAAAAAATGAACAGTCAGCCAATAGCTCTGATGCCATCTTTGCTTCATCATTTAAACTCATCGATATTCTAGGAAATTTATGTTGGATGCTCACAAAAGCCATTTATTATGTTCATTCTGACACAGTCCCATTAATATAGCCATCCATGTATCTTTGTGAAGACTTCTGTGATAGAGTTAGTTCCTTCCTAAATGAAGCAAATTCAGTGCCACATCAGAACTTGATGGATATCTTATTCTTTTTCTTTAAAACAACAAACTTTCTGACTTAAAACATTCTTGCTGCCCAGTCTTTTTTTTTTTTAAGAAATCAAGATTACAATAGCTGCTTTCACTCTCCCCGTGAAGTGCCAAAAAGGAACAATTACACACCTCCCATGCCAAGAAGGTTCTTTGGCCAGTTGAGTTAAAATCATTTATCGTTTTTATGGTGGTATGGACCATTCATTAAGATGAATTTGGCCTGTCTAACTTGAACAGACCACCTCATTAATCTAAAAAGAATGAAAACAATGCATGACAAGGACTGCTGTAAGTTCTTTGCAAACAGCATTTAAGAGCAGAAAAGCAAATGATGAAATTGAGGCTGACACTTAGAATTCTGGCTATTTTCCGAGGGGACAAGGACACTTTGAGTCCTCTCATTTCAGGGATTTCTAGGCAATTACTAGGGGCAGAATCTGAAAGGCAGGCATCATTTGTCTGGTAAGGCATGCTCTGAGAGACCACTGTCATTTCCTGGGCCAAGCTGGTAGAAGAGGCCTTAAAGCAGAGACAGCAACAAAAGTGGAAGATGAAGGGGAAGTGTCTGTTACAGTGTCAGTCTCATGGAAAATTCCTGAAGGCAGTAGAAACTGTATCTGACATTGTCAAGTAAGCTTTCATATGAAGAACTTCCTATGAAAAGGAGTAGCCATAAAATGACACACATGATTACCAAGCTCCTGAAGATGCCTGTCCACGATAGTCTCACAGCGTGGTGGTCTACCTCTGTCTGCCTATCTTATGCTTTCTTGGTTCAGCAGTTTAGCAAAACAAGTATCAGCCACATGCCCTACACCTCATCACTTAAGGGCTCCACCATAAATCTATTAAAAAGTCAAGATAAACAGCACAAGTGTGTTTTTCCTGACAAATTTCCTGCATAAGTATAGAGCACTTCCAGAACAGGTAATGATGGATATTTTTAATGCATATCCTACAAGGGAAAGGAATCAAACTATGGAAAAGAAGCTAGATGGCAGACGAACATCACATTGCAGGCTAGGAGACAATTTTGCAAGACTCAGTGCCACAAGAAGCAGATATTGTATTTCTACTTTGACAATGAGGACAGAGACACAGTTGTTCACAGTATTCACTGAAGAGCTCCAAACAGATTCAGTCAGTAATTTGAATGCTTTTCCTTCCCAGGGTGGGCTTTTCCTGAGACACTATGGGCTGCATCTCTGTGAGCAGTGACTTAGGATGAAGGTCCAGCCTTGCTGGAAATAGGAAAGGCTCTGATTTTGACACATTCTTTTTTCAAAGAGTGGTTCTTCTGACTGCTAAAACCATCAGGCAAGATAAGTTCCTGATGTAAAGGGACTATAACAAACTGGTGGAATTTGCTATGTAATATCAGGAACCCTTAATACTGATTTTACTTGCCTGTGTGTGTGTGTGTGTGTGTGTGAGACTGTATGTCATAATCTCCTCAAAGTGAAAAAAGAGAAAAAAGCATAGTTCCACATCTATTTCCATCACAAATTTACCTGTGGAAATAAGCTGTAAAAGTCATCCTTGTATTCTACTCTTGTTGAACCTCAGCATTAAAGGCTATAGGAAGCACTACTTTTAACTCTGAAATACTTGCTATTCTGCTAAATCACATACATGATTTGTCCTGTGCAAGAAATCCTTTCAATGATAGTTTGGCTTTTGTGACAACTGGCACCATCCAATCTACCCAGGCCAGGGCCATTGTGGAGACAAGGCTAACCAACATTTTAGCTTTGGCTACCGTAGCAGGTAGTGTAAGGGTTCTAGAAAAGAAGAAGGATGACTCATACTTAATGTAACTCTTAAAAGCAGATATCCCTGACCAGACGACTTTCTTTTTTGCTTCTGTTTTTTTTTGTGATAGGGTGTTGCTATGTAGCCAAGGCTGATCTGGAACTCAAGATCTTCCAGCCTCAAGACTACAGAGTGTTGGACTTAGAGCTGTCTGCCACTACACCCAGCTACCAGATGGCCTCCCCGAGGCCTGTAGAATTATAAAGGTTAAGTATTTCCTCTATTTTATTATATCTAGCATCAAGTATACTAGAACAAATGTCTAGGTTTGATTGAAGTTTAGTTACAAAATGTTTCCCCATTGCAAGACAAAATCTACAACAGTAAATCAGGTTCAAGCACAAATCAGAATCCAAGAGGGCCCCACTTCTGAGAAATGAATCAGCGCCATACTCTGCACTGCTCAGAGCAGGGATTTAGTACCGCCAGGGCTCCAGAGAGGTGCACAGAGGTGAGTAGGCCAGGGTTGGGACTATGCACTCCACATTCAGCTTTGATTTAGAATAGATGTGTTCCTATAACTTAAACAAAATCTAACTTTCTCTCTTTAAGGTTCTAAGCTCAGAGAATGAAAGAGAATGAATTCCACAAATTACAAAAATTTTGCTAATATGCAAACTGTCATTTTTAGCAAATCCAATCTATGTAAGTGGTTTATTTAATGTGGTAAATTTTCTAACAAAATTCAAATGAGGAAAAGTGATGTACTTATGCCCTTTGATAAAGGTGGGAGGTGCGGTACTGTGGCTGAGAAAGGAGAGTTCAATTCCTGCCTATATTATTGCTCTGGCTTGTCAAAGCTCACAGAACATGTGAGACCAGTGTGTTCTGTCATGTCCAGTGGTGTCAGGCAAACGTAATAGAAGGTGCACTGGGCTGCCACACATTCTCGTCATATAAATCTTCTGGTAGTTCCTCTTCATCTCCATCGGGAAAGTACGTAGGGAATGGGAGATCTTTACAGAGATCCTTATACGCAGGCAGGTTAGAATCTCTGACCTGGGGGGAAGAAGGCAAAAATCTTACTAATAAGTGCTACCAATTAAGTTATTCAGGGGTAGCCTATTTTGCTTAGCACTCAGAACCAAGTCATCTGTTCCTACCTTTTAAAACATGAATAACACAACTACTCCATACAGAAGGTAATAGGAACTCAGTCAACACATTCCTTTTAATTCTGATAAATCTGACTAATCCAATAAGAAACACAATCTTTCTGAAGTAACCAGCTACCTCTTAAGAATTAAATCACCAATTTTAACTTTATATTTTTTATAACTTATATCTTTCACTGTCCAATAGGACAAATCATATTTTAAAATTACTATTCAAATATCAGTTATGTCCAGATTCATCAATACCTAATAATTATCCATTTTATATTTCATATTGTCTATTTTAGTTATTTTATACTTTTTATAATGTAAAATTTTTGAGTTGAAACTGTTTAAAAACATAAAACTTCCTAGCATTTTTGTTAATATTAACTCAAAAGAGCACATGACCAAAAGCACCACCTGTTATTAAGGAAATTAGTTTACATTCAGTTAACAGCATTCTTATTGAGAAGTTAAAAGACAGAATAATATGGATCCAAAACAATAAACCTGTTAAGTCTTTATAATAGCTCAATTAACTCTTTAGGGTGTGAAAATTCTAATTATTTCTGTGAATTCACAGCCAAGGGAAATTTAGCACAGATGTGATCTAAAATGTTGGGTTTTAGTTTTGGGAAGCATTATTGGGGTCTTCAAAGCTTATGACTCATTCATATCCTTTATTCAAAGAGAAAAAAACAACACAAGTAATTATATACACAGAGCAAAATATGGCATATTCATTGTGGCAATAAGAAATGAGTAAGTTAGTTGAAATAACTATGCATCTGCTAGGAACAACTAAATATGGAAAATAGGTTCACTTTAATGTTTCTCATTGAAATTGTTCTAAGAAATTACCAGTAAGTTGCCCAGAAGAAAATGATCTTGTTTAATTTTTTCTAACTCACTAATCTTGGGTTGAACCTTAACAAGGAAAAATCCCAATAATGATAAAACTTTCTGTGCTAATTTGATAAAAATTGTCATAACTGATTCAAACAACCAATTCTCAGTTACCATTACACTTTTTTAGATCCATCATACCTGAGGAATATTTCAGACAACAAAAGCACTGATACTGTAAGTGCACATGCTCAGTACCATAATTTATTGATTTGAAACGTAAATGATGACATCTCATCTAAACCGCTGGACTTGGTAACACTAAGTTTTCAAAGTGTGAAGCCACCTTAACAGACATAAGACTGTATGGTGTGTGTTGCTGTGTCTTTGGTCTTACCCTGGCTTTATTACTTCCTTGCCTTCACCAAGACTCCTTCAGCTATCTACCTCATTCTTTTTATATTTATGTCTATTGATGACACAGTTCAAATTCTTTAAAATCAGGCACATCTGAAAGTAAACCTAAATTACACATTAGGACGTGGGACAAGTGCAAGTGACGGTGCTTCATGACATGTGCTAAACTATGCTGCTTTATACATCTGGTGAATTCAAACAGTAACTACAATTAAAAAAACTCATGCTAATCAAACAGGCTGGCCACCCCTCAGACTATCTTTAGTGACCAGCATTTTAGAAACAAGAGTTATGTGTAGTCCAGATAGTGAGGAAGCAAAAGCTCCAGAAAGGTGAAAGGATGTTAGGAAGTTGTCTCCCCACTAGGCCCAATCTCCAGGGCAAGGGAGCCCATTTATGTGCTTCCCATCACTGGGAGGATGGAAGCAATGAGGTAAAAAGACAAAGATATTCACAGTTAGAACACAAACCCACCAAACACAGCCCCATCTTACTGTATGCAACAGACCTTTGCTTAGTTACTAAAGACACTTATTACAAAAAGTCGAGAGTTACAAAGGATAATTATAAAGGGACCACACTTTAAAGTATGTACGCATGTACGCATTTTTAGGATGAATTTCTTTTCATTGAAACACATTTGTTGGTAATATATTCACTAGTGTGTTAAAGGTTCAAAGTGGATGACATTTTTCTGATGCTGTTTCTCAAAATCTACATGGACTCGTCTTTCAGAACCACTGTTAGTTTATCTTCCAAATATTGTCAGTGATAGCAGATTGTCATCAGTTACAAAAGTGGATAGTTTCTGGGAGCAGTCTTTTATTGAAGTGGGTGGTAAATCTGAGCAATGAATGTTCCTGGTTATAAAACATTTAAGGCAACCGGATCAAAATAGCTCTGTACATACTACAGATTTTTTAAGACAGTTGACTTATCCAACCCTGATGGTGCCATAGAAGATGCTGGTGTGGTCATAGCAGTGGTAAGTAAAGTTTAGTTACAAAGCCAGTCTAGAAGCCAGGCACTGGTGGCTCATGCCTGTAATCCTAGCTACTCAGGAAGCTGATATCAGGAGGATCACGGTTCAAAGCCAGCCCAGGCAAATTGTTCTGTGAGACCCTATCTCGAAAAACCATTCACAAAAATAGGGCTGGTAGAGTGGCTCAAGGTAAAGGCTCTGAGTTGAAGCCCCAGCACTAAAAAAAAAAAAAAGAAAGCCAGTCTAGAGCCAGTGTGCCGGGCTGGGGTGTGGCTCAAGCAGTAGAGCACCTGCCTAGCAAGCCTAGCAAGTGCAAAACCCTGGGTTCAATCCCCTGTGCTCCAAAAAATAAAACAGAAATAGAGCCAGTGTGCAGTAAAATGGGCAGAAAATGGAGGACTTAACAACATTTAATGATTTATCTGCTACCTAGCAGATAAGTATATTAGGTTGTGATATTTATAACCTATAATAAAACTGAATGTGGAATAGGGATACAACGAATTATGAAGTTAAAACATTATGTAAGACTGGGTCATTAGGGGATTAGAAACTTACTTAAAATTATAAAATTGCAAACAGCATCAAAAAACAATGTGCAAAATTCATAAAAAACATTTTTTTCTTTATGAAAAGAGTTATCTAGTCAAGAAGTGAAGTGTTTCAGAAAGGGAAGCCTATAAAGGAAAACTGAAGTACTGTTAATTTTTAAAAAGTTAAGACTATGCTAGTAATGGAACTACTTTAAGAAATGAGAAGTGGTAGGTATTACCTACCCCCAATTTTTAAAATCTGAGGTTTTAAATTTCAAATCTTTTTTGTTGTTCTTGTTAGAAAAAGTTAATGAAGAATGTACTTCTGGAACTGGCTGACATCCCTTCTACTATAAGCCTATTTTCAGAATGAAGGACTGAAAACTCAGAATTGACAGCATTTGTTTTATGCTGGCCCAAATCCCAGGCACAACCTGTATTTTATGTTACTTAATGGAAATAAATTTCTGAAAGCTTAAGAGTTTCACATCAAATCCATCTGCACAACACGTTTGCTTTCTTTTTGAATTTTCTAAAGTGAAAGTATGTATTTCAGGAAAACACTTAAAGGCATAGCAAGAGCAATACTGGCACTGATAATAAAAACGTCACATCCTAACATCCACTTTTCTGGATGGTCAGCTTCCACCTCCTCTGTCAAAGTAATTCAAAAAATGGAAACTGTTGTTTTTTTTTTGAAGGACCAAGAAATATTGATACATTGGCAATAGCTTTCCTAATACTGTCTTTCTCTTCTCGAAGATCGTTCTGCTCAGTGGCTCTCCCTCCTGCATGAGTTCTTGGTTTTATGGACCTAAGATTTAGCTTCTTTTGTAGTGTGTTACCCATCCCCTGCTCCACTCCCAACCCAGGTGCTACTAAAAAGAAAGAGCTGGTGGAGAACATGGTGAAAAGCAGCCACTTACATACATATCTATCTATGTGAACTGCAGAAGACAGAGAAGTATGCATACCTTTACTAAGCAGTTTTTATGTCCAGGAACAGAGCCATTCACATAGATTACGTTGTGCTTTGTGTTTATCCTCCACACCTAAAACATAAAATAAAGCCAACTTTTAAGAGTTAAAACTTTGAGAAGACTTTTATAGCAAAGCAAACAATTACAGTAAAGCAATTACTTGCTTTTTTCTTACTCAAAGCTAAGAAAATAGCCTAAAAAATTATCATATTGGCACTTCAAAATGTCAAATAAGAACAGAAAACTCCACATCCAATTCGATGACAACATAAGACCCTAACAGACACATCTTAACGGAAGTGGTAGAAAACATTCATTTTAAATATGACTTGACCAAGATTATTTGAATAACTCAATGGGGGTTATTATTAAGAATAACAAGTGGAAATTCAATTTTCAATTCAGTTAATAACAGCATGTTACAACTAGAAACTGAAACTCCATAATTCACTGGATCTGATTTCTAAAATAAGTAGGTTGAGCAGGTAGCCTTCAAAAAGATCTTCACATGGAAGGGAAAAAAAGATACAAATGGAAGAGAATGGTCAAGAAATGATACTGAGAAAATAAAATATTTGGGGAGGAAATCAAGTTTTACCCACAGCTGATATTTGACAATGTTATAAAGAAAAATGTGACAAATACTTGGTTTCTGCTGTGAATGAAAATAATAGAAGGGAAAACAGGTAATTACTCAATGTGTATCAACTTGACTAGATCAAGAAGTAAAGTAGTACTTCTGGGCGTGTCTGTTAGGGTGTTTTCAGGGATCAGAGTGTGAAGGATACACCCACAATACGGGTAAGCCCACCCAATTGGCTGGGGGTCTGGATAGAACAAAAAAACGCAGAGATTTCCTCTTTCCTGGAGCTAGAACCTTTTCTTCTCCTGCCATTGGACATGAGAACTCCAGGTTCTCCGGAATCTGGACCCAGGATTTATATCAGTACTCCCCTCCTATCCCCCTGGCCTGGTTCTCCTTGCCTTGGACTGAGAGTTATGCTATTATGTCCCTGGTTCTGTGGCTTTTGCACTGAGTCATGCTACTAGCACCCCATGTCTCTAGCTTTAAGACAGCCTGCTGTGGGATTTCTCAGCTTCCATGATGATGTGCACCAATACTCTTAATAAATATTCTTTCATGTATCTATCATATCATATCCATCCATCCATCTGGTTCTGTCTCTCTGGAGAATCTTAATACAATTATATAAAATTTGAAAACTTCTCATCAAAATCTATACATAAAATATGTATTTTATGTATGATACAATAGAGCCTGGAGAACACACACCAAAACACAACCAGTCTCTATCTTTGGGCATTGTTCCTAACAGGTAGTTTATTTTCTTTGTACTTTCTATGCTTTGAAATATACATGCATATATATATAGACATTAGTTGTTTGTTTTAATGAAAGTATAATTATACAGCACCCATTATTACAACTCATTTTCACTTAGATATTACATTTCTTAAATTAGTAGAGATTAAACTTTATATTATTATCCTTAAAATACATATATGTTTAGTAATAAAAATGAATGTATTATCCACCACCCACCCCCAACTCACACACACACCTTTTTTGGTGATACTAGGGATTGAACTCAAGGTTGAACTCAGGGCCTGAGTGTGCTAGGCAGGCTCTCTACCACTTGAGCAACACCCCCAGTTCTTTTGCTTTCAGTTTGTTTTTCAGATAGGGTCTTAACTTTGCCTGGGTTGGCCTCTGTCTTGAACTGGGATCATGCTATCTCTGACTCCTGAGTAGCTGGGATTAAAGTTGTATACCGTCATACCTAGCTCAATTTTGAGTTAGGGTCTCCAGAACTTTTAAAGGACTGGCCTTCAACAGTGATCTTCCTGTCTCTGCTGTTTCCCAAGTAGTTGAAATTATAGGCATGTGCCACCCTACTTGGCTCCAGAATCCTTTTTTAAGTGCTATCTTTTCCCTCTATTGTGGCTGTCTCCTTCTTACCTACCTCCCCTTTTACCTGTCCACAATTTGATATAAAAATCCAAGACCACCTGGTACACGATCTTCCACTTTTCTCTGTGACTATACATGTGATAACACACATGTGCAGAGAGCGCTCCTTTATTTCTTCATGAAAGGAGAGCAAGACCCTTAATACTCTGAATCATTTTTTTTCATGCACTATCTTGTGTAAATCTTCCAAGTAGAACACTAGAGCATTAATGCTTCATTTAGTGGGTGTACATTCCATGGCTTGGATGTTAATGGATGCATTACCACTATTCCCACATGACTATGCTTCTACAATATCCCACTCCACCTGCACAGCCTCTACTCCTTAGCTGTAAAGCCTGTTAGAACAGAAGCACACAAGCACACATCAAATAGCTATTCTGATGCCTTTGCATTTAGACAACAGAACTTCCTAAAGTCACTTTACTACTCACCTTCAATCCATATGCTGTTCTATCTACATTTCCCATTTTTCCAGGCATTTTAGTTCCAGGCCAGACTCTGGCAACATCCTAGATGAGAGAACCAAAGTTAACACTTCTCAGTACTCTTGATTTCAAACAGTATCAACCAAATCACAATGCACACTAAAACCAGGCATTAACAAGTTTTATTTTTTCCCCTTCTTCTGCTAGGCCCAGTAAAGAACTGAATATGAATTTAGATGCATGTATTTCTAGAGGATTAGACTGACAAAACACATACAGACTAAGAAACAGACACAGGAGAAAACCACAGTAATGAGTACTAACCGATTTAATACTGGTTGAAAACTTAAGAAACAGCAACAATAGTAGTAAGTAAAGGTAATGCACACATGCTACACCAGCATTCAAAGACAAGTCGGGGCTGGGAAAGCTTCTCCTGCCATATATACTCTCAGCTACCCTACATCAACAGCTGGGATTCCCAGTGGAAGTGCCTCATCATAGTATCAGTGTGACCAACACTGCTCAAAGGACAATTCTGAGTACTAAAGACTGAGTATTACCTTTCTACATAACATATGCTAATAAGCACAGACCTTACATTACTAAAAAAGGACTAATTCAGCCTCCCTGGTCAAACTCACACTCTATAATTGGAATATACAACTATACTCCACTTCTAAAGCTTATGAAGGCACCAATTAGCAAATCTTAACAAATCTTAATAAACACAGAACAGTATATTTCAAGACAAATAACTAACTTCAGGAACAGGTTCTTTTATAGGCCTAATTTTTAAATTTATTAAGATACAATTCACATACCACATATTTCACCCTACTAAATGGCTTAAGTATATTCAAAGAGCTACTTATCAACCAAATCAATTTTAGAACATATCAACCCAAATCAGAAATTCAATAGATATTAGTGGTCACTCCCTCCATACCACAGTTACGAGATCACAAATCTAGTCTTGTCTCCATAGATTTGACTAGTTCGCGTATTTCATATAAATGGAATCATAAAAATCTGTGGTCTGGCTTCTTTCACCTAGCACAGTGTTCTCAAGGCTTGCTTATCTGTGTTGCAGTGTAAGTCAATTCCTCACTCCATTTCATTGCTAAATATTCTACTGCATGAACGTATCAACTTTAATTACCTATTCATGACTGATAACCATCTGAATTGTTTCTTTGTAGCTACTACGAGTACTGCTGCTACGAATGATGACACAAAAGTTTTTGTATGCATGTCTTCATTTTTTTTGGGTACATACCTAGGAGCAGAATTGCCAGGTCATACAGTAAAGTATTGATGCAAAGTGGCTGCATCAATTTACTTCTGGCCACCAATGTATGAAGGTTCCAATTTCTCCACATCCTTTGTTATCACAGACCTTTTTAACTACAGCCTTCCCAATGTGTGTGAAGTGTTATCTCATTGTGGGCTTTTTTTTTCTTTTTTGGGCAGTACTGGGATTTGAACCCAGGGCCCTGGGTTCAATCCCCAGCACTGAAAGAAGACAGAAAAAACAAAGCAAAAACCAAAAGCATCTACTTCAGAATTACAAACTGCACTTAGTAGTAATGTCTCCTTAAATCTGGAGTAGCTGCTCAGCTTTTCCTTGTCTTTCACAGCTAGCTACTTTAGCATATGGCTTGCTGGGATGGGTTCATTTTAGGTACTTTTTTTCCTTTTCCTCTTCTTTCTCTTTTTCTTTTGCTGCATTGGAGATTAAACCTGGGCCTCACACATGCTAGGCAAAGTGCTCTACGACTTGAGCAATGTCCACAGCCCTTTTGTTTTTGTATGTGGGGCTCGAATTCACAATCCTCCATCCTAGTGCTGAGACTGGAGGCATATGCTACCATGCCTGGTGTAGGCAATTTTGTTTTGAGACCATGCAGATATCTAGTCCCCCAAAAGCTTTACCATTGTCTTAGCAGTCACTGATAGATCCTGGTAAAATCAGACTCCTATGCATCATTCTATCATTCCTTCTCCATCCAGTAGCTGACATTATACTGTAAGGAAGAGCATTCCTCTTTATCCTACCTAAGACGCCATGGCTTCTAATTATACAATGAGTTCTGTTACTATCATTCTGTAGTCTTAAGCCTAAACTATCCCATTTTTGCCAAATGGGAGGCTGTTTACATTGGCTCTGTGTCCTTTTTATGTGTCTATCGTAGTTTAATCGCTTCCTTATTTTCTTGTACAAGATGCTTTGGGCTCATCTTGTGTTCTTCCAATTATTCAAGGAGCAATAATCCTTTCAGTGGAGCATGGTGTTTAGAAACCAAGCCCTGAGCTCTAGGTATGCTCATTGCAAGAGAATAGCCTTGTTTCTATGTCATTCCAGAAGAGGGAAAGACAAGATAAAATAACATACATCTACATCTATTTCCCTTCACACATGCACACACACACACACACACACACACACACACACACAGTGAACAAATGCACACTGATACCTACAATTTGAATTCAACACTGTAAAATTCACCCTAATTTCCCTCTTTTCATATTTTAATGTCCTCTAATAGTGAAGAACTTCGCTCCAGTATCAATATATTTACTTTTCTGCTCAATCCTCCAAATCACAGAAAATTACTTCAGAATTGCTTACTGATAACAATGCAAAAAGCAAACTTAACTAGAATTTAACTTTTGTTCAGAGTACATTTTAAAATTTAGACTCACATTAAGTAACAAAAAAAATTACTGCATTCAAAAGACACTTGAATTGATATCTTTCCTTCTTCAGAGTGGTTGTTACTCACTTGCTGTACTTATGTTCATTTTCCTGGTTGTTTTGTGATCCCCTATCATTGTTTTTATGTTGAGTAAGTGAAACATGAACATGGTTTGATTTCAGAAGTAAAAAGGATAACAAAAGAGTATATCTGGGGGAGTCCTGCTCCTGCCTTTCCTAAGCCTTCTAGTGTTCTGCCCATCTCTTGTAGGTAAATAATCTCAGCAGCTTCTGGTTTATCTTTCTGGACTTTCTTTTTGCAACGCCCCCCCCCCCCCCCCCACCAAAAAAAAAAAAACCCATGATACATATATTCCCTGATATACTGCAAGTCATTTCATTTCTTTCATAATCATTTAATTCTTTTTTACAGCAGCATAGTAGTCTTTGGAGTAGATCTACCAGTTTATTAATCCAAACTTCCAGATATGGACGTTTATGCTTATTAATTACAAATAATGTTGCAATGACTAATTTTGTGTAAATGTATTATTTTCGGAAGAGTATCTTCAGGTTAAGTCCCCAGCAGATTTATTTGCTGCTTAGTTTTATTAGATACTGTGACATTCTCCTCCCTAAGGGCTACACTATTTTGTATTCCCATCAGTGATGGATTTCAGTGCTTGTCTCCTGGCATTCTTGCAAACACTCTTTTCACTTTTTGTTACATAACATGACCAAAATTAAGCAGCCTGATAATATAATCTGCTGGTGAGAACTCAATAACTCAGAGTAGCTTTAATCTGTATTTCTCTCAGGAAGAGAGAACTAGACAGTATTACTGACCTTTAGAGGTCAGTCGACCTTGCATTACTAAGGCTGCGCAGAGGAACAGAATCCTGGGCCCTCTATGCTGTGCTCTGGGAGAGAAAGACTGAATTAGTGATGCCAGGGTCTGTCCTCCATTTCTTATGTCTCTTTTGTTTATGTCTCCATTTACTCTTTGATGCTTTTTGCCTGCGCCCTGGTATTAGTCTTGACATTTTTACCCAACAAACAAGTACATGAAAAACCAGTGGACTCAGATAAAAAGGCAGGTAACCCCTCATTTCTAATTTTAGAATGGAAGATAGAGCAGGGATTTGGCAGGGGGTGAGGTGTTGAAAATACTGGCCATAAGCATGTGGGATAAAACTAAACAACTCAAGTCTGGCTCTGGAAAATGTGTGAGGTCAGGACCATGAAAGGGTGACAAGTGCTAGGACTAGTACCTGACAGCACCCTAGTACTAACCTAGTAGACAGTCAGATTAAAATTATGAGGGAGACCTCAAGGAAGGCTGAGCACTGTATTGCATAGGTGAATATTTATTATTAAAAGGAGCATCACTAGTTATACTCACACCAGTTGAAATAGCTCCAGGTCTCCTATGGGTTTTCGTTTGTCCATGAGAAGCAGGCTGGCCTTTAAATCCCCATCTTTTCATGACGCCCTGAAAACCTTTACCGATACTGAACAAAACAAACGTTAGAATTTACATAATGACCCAAGTGTAAAATATTCCCAATTGCACTTTTCTTGATAGTACTGCAGAGTTTAACAAAGCTTCTTATCTAAATAACTAGAAATACCTATACAAGCCAGACTGCAAATTAACATTCCTTTATCTGTTTCCTGTTTTGCATCTCTTCCTGGAGTCTATTTCTACATAGAAGGATTAATTCAAGATGCTGAGACAAAAGCAAGCCACGCACTGGGAGTTTTATCTGAACAGGAAGTTGTACCACCATAATCCTGTGGAGATGACACAGTGAAAGCAACAAAGCTCTGTAAGTTCCAGAGCAAACACAGCAGCTGTGTCAGCAAGCCACTAAGATGGACCCTCCGGCTCCCTTGCTCGTGCTCATTCCTTGCTGGCTCTCTTGCAAGTCTGGGTGGACCTGGTGACTGGTTTCTGATGGATGAGCATGGCTGAATGAGGAGATGTGGCTCCACCTTGGTATCCTCCTGCTCAGAAGCTCTGAAGGAAGCAATTTTCACTGTGCAAGCTGTCCTCTGAGAGGTGCGTGGCAAAGATGGCTCCAGCCAACAACCAAGACCTGAGGTCCACCAGTGGCCATGGTAGTGAGCATGGGGACAGACTCTCCCCAAGTCGGACCCCAAGATGTTTGCAGCCCTGGCACAAACCTGTGACTGCAGCCTTGTGAGATCCCAGGCAGGGGGTATGACAATCTCTGACCACAGAAACTGTGAGGCACCAACAGATACTAATATAATAGAAGACTAAATAAGAAACAAATAATGCTGTAAATGCTGAACCAGTTTTATTTTAGAAGACAACAGGTGGATCTTCTCAGGGTTGAAGAGGAAATTAATGGAGAAGTAAAAACAGAAAAACAAGTTCTAAATAATCTGAAATCACTCTGCTTTCAAACTTTGTTAGCTAGAGAAACTCTGGCATAGGTGGAAAGCAAAGAATACTAAGGTTGACATGTCAGGAAAGTCTGAGAGCACACAGTACAAACATGACGCAAGGACTAGAAGGACCCACGACACTGTACTGGACATAGATGGATATTTCTTTTTTTTTTTTTTTTGTGGTGGCTCTGGAGTTTGAATTCAGGCCCTTGGGCTTGCTGGGCAAATCCCAACCACTTGAGCCATGCCCTCAGCCCTTTTTGCTTTTAGGTTTTTTTTTCCAATAGGGTCTCACTTTTTGCCCAGGGCTGGCCTCAGACTATAATCAACCTACCTACACCTCCCATGTAGCTGGGATTATAGCTGTGAACTACCATACCCAGCTTGTTTGTTCAGACAGGGTCTCACTAACTTTTTGTCCAGGCTGGCCTGGAACCATGACCTTCCTCAGTAGCTTAGATTATAGGCATATGCTACCATACTAGGCCTATATCCTCTTTTTTTTGATGTAATTGGTTTTCTTTTCTGTAAAGGCACCTTTTTATTATTATTATTTTAGATATATGCAGTAAAGTACACAAAAATGAACATTTTATTTCTTTTTTTCTATATCCTCTTAAGATAAGTATTTTTTTCATCTTCTGGTAGATGCCAACGTATTTTTAGTGTATTGCTGCCTAATCTCAACAAAGCTAGCTGTGATTACACAGTGCACTGTTCAAACTAATTAGGAAAAGAAAAAGATGAGGAGAACCCATGCTATTTTCATAAGGACTTTGCTATGCATTAGTTAACAAAGAATTAACTGACAGGAATGGATGGAAGAATGCCTATATAAATAAATTTAAGATAAATCAATATTCAATATAAAAATTATAAATTATATGTATGACCTAATGTAGGCATATATAACCAAATCATTATTTATTTATAAATAATTAAAATGTAGCTTACACTGCTTTCTTCATATTAATTGATTTTAACACTCTAATGATACTACATAATTCTTTTTCTTTGCCCCTAAACCTCAAAATAATGCTTATTCTTGATTAAAGAGCTAAAACAGAAATTCAACATATATTCAATAAAAAACTATAGTATGTTTTTAAAAAAAGGCTGACATCTAAGAAGAGAAGCTATGATAATCAAATGCTGACATTATGCTCCAGAAATTTAACAAATATTTCCACTTACCAATGAATTTTACAACATATTTGGAAAGCAAAAGGTTGGCAATGCAAAAATGAAAGAAACACTAAAGAGTCATTTGGATCTATTCTATCATTTGGCAAATAACCCTTAAAAGAAGAAAAAGGAGAGGACTGGCAACATTAATCTAAACCTTTAAAACATTCCAACACTGTTCACTCTTGATACAAAGTTTTACTAGTGCCTCTGAGTTCACAAACTCATTCTCTCTTCCTTAAAAAGACAAATGAGCCATGTACCAACAAAATGCATGCCAGGTAAATTACAGAAGACAAGGGAACTCATTGTAAGAGTAAATGATTATAAGATGAAAGTGGTATCCTGAAAGTGCTAATTATGTTGGCTAATTACAGATTGTTTTTCAATCTAGCTCCAGAACACATCACGCAGTTCCACTGTGTACAATGGGAATCTCTTCAATAAATAACCTTTAAACAAAAGGCTAAAGCACAAATGACCTGACAAATTACTGGCTTACTTCAGTGCAGGAAGAATAGAGGGCACCTGTTGATCCATGGGCGGCTCAGGTATCTATTCTATTACTTCCCTCAATTGCACCCAACTTGAGAACAGAAATAAACAAAAACAACAAATGAACTAGTAGTCTGTACTTAGCACACTGAGCGGGGCACATTTCAGAGCTCATAGAAAATACAATCATTTTACAGAAAATTATACACAACACATTGCACACATGCTTTATCTCCTCTACCCTTTTCCCACTGAAGCTTTTAATTAATTGCCACAGAAATAAATCAAATAATGAAAATTCAAATAAAAAAACACAATGATAGAAATCCCAGTTTTAGTGAGATTTATCTGACAATGAAGAAAGCATAAAAAGTATTTTACTTAGAGCAATTATAACTGTGAAGCTAAAACACATGTCGAGCACTCATCTGACTGAGAAGCCTGGATCATCTGTGCTTCCCAGCACACCCTGAGTGCACTGTGATGCAGAGGGGCAAGACTGTGCATGCCTCAGCCCACTGCCGAGCCTAGAAAAGTCGGCAAGTACCTGTCACTGCATCACTGGAACAAAGAGATTAGTTTCTGTCCCTTTGTCCTGGTCTCCAAATGTTGTATAGCTGGCATGCCTCTTAGTTCAGAGATGGAAGAAAAGGTATTATCTGTAAAAATCTTCTAGAAGGCAATGCATAATTTAATGTCTGCCAGTGCATTCTATAAATCTCCACAGAGAACACTACTTTGGGATCAAATTCCCTTGCCATCTTGTGACAAATGCCCAAATGCTGACGGTAAACACACAGGGTTTGTTTTTTCTTTGTTTTGGTGGTACAGGGGTTGGAACTCAGGACCTGGTGCTTGCCTAGCACTCTACCATTTGAGCCACACCATCTCCCACCCTTTTTGGCTTTAATTATTTTTCAAATAGGGTCTTGTACTATTTTGGCCAGGCTGCCTCAGGCCAAAATTCTACTACATATGAATCCCAAGTAGCTGGGATTATATGCAAGAACCAACAAGCCCATCTTGTTTTTTGAGATGAGAGTCTTGCTAACTATTTTTTGCCTGGGCTGTTCTTGAAATTGCAATCGTCCTTTCTCTGCCCCTTAAGTAGCTGGGATTATAGTACCGAGCCCAGCTCTACACACAGATTTTAAAACACATGCCACCACGTACTGTTTCTTTATTTTGTGAGACAATGTCTTTCAATGCATGATTGTGGATTATTCGTACCTGGGGACAAAATAAAGTGTCCACGAGCTGAGGAGAGATCATACATTGGCTCTAAAACTCATCTATTCTGAATCCCCTGAGAAATCCTTCCAACGTTCCCACCTGAGTCTCTTCCTTGCCATTGGCTTTTTCTACCTTCTCTCTCCTCTGTACAGCTCTTTCTTCCTCTTTGAGATGCCAACTGCTTCTCCTTTACCCACTATTCACCCTCTGTAATCTGTCTTCCTCTCCAATTACTCTTTGGAAATCACTCTGAGGTTAATCTCCTAATTCAAAACTCCTTTATTAAAATAATCTTTATTAGGGAGGTTTTCAGACATGTTGAAGAGCAGAGACTCATACAATCAATGCATCCATCACCCACTGTCAATTACTGACTCAAAGTCTGTCATATTTTATTTGTTCCTATTCCCCTGCAACTCTAGCAGGTTATTTTGAAGCAAACTCTAGGTATCCTATTCAGTTAATTAAAAAACATTTCAATTAGATCTCTCTCTAAAAGTTATCGCCCTTTAAAGAACAAAACCATAATACCATTATTAAAACCTAAAGAAAATTGGCAGTTTCTTAATGTCAGATATGCATTCAGTGTTCAAATTTCCCTGACCTCTTTTAAAATAGAATCTCTCCTAGGTTGTCCTCTATCCCTCTTTTCTTGTCCTCCCACACCTGCCATTATGAGCATTTCTGTTCAACTACCCAATTCAGTGTTCCTTGGTAAACCTACCTGATCAGTGATGAAACAGCTCCTGGGCCCACAAGTCAGTCATTGTGGAATTTTCCAGTTTCATTGTGTTCCACTCATATATGGTAGAAGCTGACGTGGCATGTCTGCCTGGCTGTAACTTTCTAAGACGGTATGTGACAACATGACCTGAAATGTAGGTGCTGGGTTTCTGTCTAAAAAACCATAAACCTCTTATGGACATCTGGGAATGCTTTTATTGCCCAGAGGCTGCTCTGAGTACACTGCTTATAACGCTTCTGGCAAAAAATCCGTCATTCAATGGTATAAAGAGCCAAGTGTGCAGTGATTCCTTCAATCTCCTGGCTATCCTGAATAAACTCAGAACACCACATCTGCTGTGCTGGGTGCAATCTGCTCTTCTCAAAAAAGGAAATTCAAATAGCCCATTCTGCAGTATCATGGAAGGATAGAACAATAATCTGAAGGGCTTCAGCC